TGACATAATAGCAAGAGGAAAATATTTGCAATCATATACCTGAACATGAGACTTAAGTCTTCTACTACTGGTTATTTACTTCCACTGAGTCCATTAACCTGCCTGACCTCAATTTTTTCAGCCATAAACTGAAGAAAGAAATAACAATCATGACACAGAGTTGTTGTCTGAACAGATAATAAGCTCCAAAGGAAAGTGCTTTATAAACTATAAAGCATCATAGGCAAGAAGACTGCTATTAATTATTTTAGTAAGAGGTATTTAAATGTATAGTATACTTCGAAAGTAAAATGAAGAAAGTTCTGTTCTGTCTCTTTTTCCTTCCTCTGCATGAGCAATGTAAGTTAAACACTGCTTTAAAAATTCAGAAAATGTTTGATTTATATATTGATGCAGTCATCAAAAGAAGTATTAAGATTTTGGTTTATTATACAACTGTTTCAGTAAATGTTCATCTAATTCAAGTAAAATTGCAGGAACATCAACCCAAGATTTTTCCTTTTTTTTTTTTTTTTTTTTTTTATGACAGCTTCTTGCTCTGTTGCCCAGATTAGAGTGCTGTCATGTGATCTGTACTCACTGCAGCCTCTGCCTCCTGGGCTCAAGCAATCCTCCCACCTCAGACTCATGAGTAGCTGGGACTACAGGCATCCATGACCATGTCTGGCTATTATTATTCTTTTTTTTACTTTCTGTAGAGACAGAGTCTTGCCATGTTGCCCAGGCTGGTCTCAAACTCCTAGGTTCAAGTGACCTGCCCGCCCCAGCTGCCCAAACTACTGGGCATACAGGGGTGAGCCCCCATGCCTTGACTGGCTTTTCCTTTTTTAAAAAAAATACAACTATGCCCAAGGATGAAATGAGCCTTAACCTTAGACTTCCTTCATACTTCCCAAGAAATATTCTCAAACAAAGCAGACTGGTTAAGTAACTGGTTAATAGTTATGACTATAAAAAATCAAAAACCCAGAGGATCAGACTGTTGGAAAGTTAGCAACGGAAGAAAAGCCTGTTACTACTGAAACAATGTCCTAACTTGCAACAGAGACACATATAACAAATATTGCTATACTTACTCTTTCCACTGGTCCCTTCCTATAGAGCTGTGCTATGTTGCATCTCTGATACAGGATTTTGAATTTGGTGAGTCCCTCCTAGACTGTCATTTTTTCTTCAATCACAGTGATTTTTGCTTAGATCATTTTGGGCAGTTTATGGATAAATCTGAAGATATGGTTCATGAAATTAATAAAATTAACTGAGCAGAATCAAATCAAAAAGTCAACATATTTTACTGGTCAATACAATTACAGCATGGGTAAATTTCAAGAAACAACTAAGGAATACACACTAGTAAAAAAAAAAAAAAATCTGATTTCACGAACCATATCTTCAGATTTATCTATAAACTGCCTGAAATGATCTAAGCAAAAATCACTGTGATTGAAGAAAAAATGACAGTCTAGGAGGGACTCACCAAATTCAAAATCCTGTATCAGAGATGCAACATAGCACAGCTCTATAGGAAGGGACCAGTGGGAAAGTAAGCAAAACCATAACATGCAAATAGTTAAATTTACAGAGGATTTTCCATGATTAAAACAGAAAGGAAAATATCCACTATGCTCTACTAAGATCATCGGTCAATTGGAAGCTGTGGCTGGGGAAAATAGTGAGACAAAAAGATGATATCCAACTTCCTAATGCATATGGAAGTACTTGATGTTAGTAAGCGCTGCTGCTTAGAAAATCAGCTGATGGCATTTAAGTGTGTGAGCGTATACAAACTATAAGTTGACACTTCTTTTCATTACCTTATTTTCAATTCAAAAATTACCTCATGTTGCTGCTACAACAAACTCAGCATTGTCTTGGGCATAGTGGAGAAAATAAGATATCACTTTCTCAAGAGAAAAGTAACAAAAAGAAACATTTATTAAGTTCTTATATGATGTCAGATATTATGCTAAGTATTTAGCTCTGTGAAGTGATCACATTTATTACCTACATTTTACAGATGTAGAACTTGGAGATTAGTAAACTTGTCTAAAATCAAAGCTAGTGAATAAAAGTTTCAAAATTCTAATTCAAGCTATTGATCTCAGTGCTAAAAATGATTGAAAACTTGTTCATTTAGATTTCTTATTTTTTGATGTAGGCATTTACCCTTATAAATTTCCTTATTACTATTTTTGCTGCATCCCATGGGTTTTGGTAAATTATGTTCTCATTTTTGTCTTGAGATACTTTGAATTTCCCTTTGATTTATTCTTTGACCAAAGTTTGTTCAAAATTATACTGTTTAGTTTCTACATTCTTGTAAATTTTACCATTTTACTTATTGTTGTTGAATTCTTATCTCATTATATTGTGGTCAGAAACATCTAGAAATATTTTGACTTTCTAAGATGGTTAAGACTTGTTTGTGACCTAAACTTTGATTTATCCTAGAGAATATTCTGTATGCACTTGAGAAAAAATGTATATTCTTCTGCTGCTGAGTGGAAAGTTCCATATATGTCAGTTAAACCCATCTACTCTACAGTGTTGTTCAAGTCAGCTGTTTCTTTATTGATTTTTCTGTCTGGATCTTCCATCCATTATTGTAATTGAGGTATTAAAGTTCACTACAAACAATAAACTAAGCCCAAAATAAGCAGAGAAAAAAAGAGAATAATAAACATTAGAGCAAAAAATTGTGAATAAGGAAACAGTTTAAAAATTTAAAAATCTAAGAGTTTGCTTTTTAAAAATATAAAATAACTTAAAAACCCTTAGCTAGAGTAAGAAAAGAAAAAGAAGACAAAAAAAATCAGAAGTCAAAAAGGAGACATTATAATGGATGCCTGAGACATAAAATGGGTCATAAGGGAATTGTTTTGAACAATTACATGCCAACAATCTGGATGGCTTATAAGAAATGGGTAAATTCCTAAATACATACAACTTACCTAACCTTAGTCAGGAAGAAACAAAAAGCCACAACAGACCAGTAACAAATCAGGGGACTGAGTCAGTAATCAAAAGTCTCCCAACCAATGATCTGATGACTACACAGGTGAATCCTACCAAATACTCAAAGAGGAAATAAGACCAATCTTTATTAAACTCTTCCTGAAAATAAAAAAGGAACCACCTCCAAACACATTTTATGAAGTCAGGATTATCTTGATACCACAACCAGGAAGGCTCTACAAGAAATGAAAACTAGAGCTTTCATTTCAAACTTGTGATAGTATAGATGGTTCTATAGATGAAGTATGTATTTCCTATGTCACTTGCCATTGTGTCAGCCATTGCTGAACAATTGGTCTACAGTTGAAGAACAAGTGAATGAATGGCTTTCTTGCAGGGGTAACTGCTGTAGTTGGAACCTGAGTTTTGGCAAGCCCTGCCACCATGGGCTAAATTATTCTGGGGTTCTAAATAAACATTAAAAGTAACCTCGACCACAAGGATTGCAATTCCTGCACAAGTCCTGGTGCTGTGCTGGGCTCGGAGCCAGGGAACTTGGAGTGCATGAAACCTAGTGAGATACCAGCTGAGGCAACTAAGAAAGTGCTTCTGTCACCCCCTCCACCAACCCTAGGCAGCACAGCTTATACCTCCAAGACCCCTTCCATCTGCTTGAGGAAGGTGGAAGAAGGAGTAAAGAGGACTTTCATTCACAAGTTTATGTGTAGTTTATTCTACACATTCTCCTCCTTCAATTCCCAAGGCTATTCTGTTGTAGGTGTAAGTCATAAAAACCTCCAATACATATATGAAGGAAAGACTAGACTGGAAAAATATTTTCATCATCCAGGAACTCTGACGTGGAATATAAATGTCAGCATCTTCAAGGTTCCAAGTTACATAAAGACTGCTTAAAGTAGTTTTTAAAAAGAAAGCAAAAATATATTAAGAAGTTTAAGGAATATTAAGTATTTAAGATATTTTGATGGCTTAGAAATGGATTTTATACCCCAGATGCAACTATGGCAAATCTGATATTTAATTCCTGATTGATCATGTCAAAAAGAAAAAGATTTCCATTTTCTAGACAGAAAATTCAATATCTTTCACAAATGCCAAAAGCTTAATCATAAAATTTTCTAAAATATTGATCAAATCATACCTTAATAGAGAAGGAAAGAACAGCTGTCCATGCAACAAATTGGTTTATCAGTGCAAATTTTATCAAAATTTTGAAAACTCAGATGAAGCCCCACTGTACAAAAACACTAAATGTTGGATCATAACACTGAGGCAAATATTTAACAATGATGTATCCAAACAAACAAGGTCCAATAACCTTCTTCCTACAGTAAAATACAGCAAATAAGTTAGACAGACATTTTAGTTTTCTCTATTATATTTTTGGTAGTCAATTAAAGAGGATTAAAATGTGAAGCCATTTGCAGTTCCACAGAAAAGGATCAGACAGCAAAGATGGCAGAAATAATATGAAAGAGAAACTCTCTACCATGTCTCAAGGGCCAAACAATGAAACAATTTCAGGTTATCTCAATGTCACTTGTTAAAAAAAAAAATCCCTGAGTACATCTTTCTAACCCATGTTATCCCTTTCTAACCCATGTTATGTTAAATAAGTAAGAAGAAAAATATAATAAAGCTTTATATAATGGGCTCCTTAGCCAATTCACCCACATCTTCAGTGTCCATGGGGCATTTGCCACTTATAAGGGAAAGACCAAAAGAAGAGAAAAATATTCTTCAACCTCAAGACATCTGCTAGTCAATGTCAGAAAAAGAGTAAATTCAATACAGTACAGACAATCCATCATGAGGAATTTAACACTCATAGAAGTTTGGGTTTTTTAGTGGCTATTCTCAAAAGTTTTGCGACTTTTTGAACAACAGGAAGTAGAAACAGACAAGGGAAAACATAAGAAAAAAAGAATCCAAGGGTGCTGATAATAAAGCAGAGAAAGTAATTAAAAGTAGAGAAGAACAAGATTGAAGCAAAGGCATCTTTTCAGAAAACTATTCTGTAGCAATTAGAAGCCAGAGGTGGAGACATCATGACAAACAAGAGCTGCGGACAGCTGCAAAAAAGAAGATCCAATAAGGGACTCTTTGAGCCGCAAGGCTAAGGCACAACAACAGACATTACCCAAAGGGATGTTTAAATTTCTAGCATCTTTATGAATAAAAGAGGGCTTTATTACTTACCCGATTTGTATGATTGTTTCCTAAAATAGCACGTAGCAGAGTTTTCTCAAATTCTTCCAACTTCTTTGAACACTCTTTAAGAATATGATTAGATAAGTTATTGTCACTGATCAGGCTAGCTAAAGTACCAACAGCTTCTGTCCAAAATCTTGAAAAAGGAAGTTTGGGATTATGGTAAAAAGTGATCAGGCCATCCAGCAACTGAAAAACAGAATCAGAGACTGTGGAATAGTCTTTTTCAAAGCGGGTTAAGTCTCTTTTAAGACTACCTGATTCTGTCAAATTCTTCAGTTCAAGTAGATATTGCAAGAATTGCATGTGAGAAGACAAAGGATTTTTTAGGATAGCACAAGGTTTTTTCACAAGAGGAAGTTGTGGAAAGTGAGTAGAGGTACAGCTTTCCACAAAGTGCTGGGACAGGTTTGAAGGTTCAGTTCTCTGCTCACTTGACAAATCACACCCAGAATCTTCCATCGAAGTTAATGTACTTTCAGAACTCTTAGGTTCCTGAGCCTCCAACTGGTAAGACAGGTTTCCTGAAAAAGAAAGGAATGGAAGGATTATCTTCATGCAACTAAAATTTCTTCATGTAAAACCAGCCATTGATGTTTACCTTAAAATAAGAAACAAAGTAAATACGCATTAAACATTTAACAAGCAGTAGTGTAAAAACTGAGTAAAGAAAAAACTGTAAAAGAAATTGTATAGACTGTAGAATGAGATGGGTACAAAGCAAAGGTGATTCATTCATGTATTTTCAGGTCATTATCTTTCACTCAATTATAATGCCAAGCTTAAAAGTCGCAAAGGAGAAAGCCACAACACCTGAAGGAGATCACAGTCTGGTAGTGAATCCAATAGGTAACTACAAAGCAGTAGGGTATACCCAGACATAGAGATTTGTTTAGGGAACTATAAAATCAGGAGGACCATTGAACAGCCCACCTTGTTAGATTAGTATATCCTGGAAGAGGTCATGATGGAACTACTTATAAAGTAGCAGTTCAAAGCTAAAGTTAGGAGAAGAGAGACGGCAAGAGAATTCCATACACCTAAGGGATAAGTGTAACAGCACAATACAACAGGAAAAATAATGGCATTTGTGTATGTGAGGACCCACAAGTAATCTGAGTCATTCCCACAGAAAGCATAAGGTAAGAGACTTAAGATAAATAACGTAGAGGCCAGATCATTAAAGATAATATAAGACATACTAAGAACGTTACAATTAATCCTGTAAAGTGTAGAGTGAATTTCCAACTTCTATAGTGTAAGAACCCTTTGGAAAATGTATGCACATACACACATATCTGATATACAAATATAAATATATACAGATAATATCTACATATCTCTGTATATGTATATCACATATATGTGTGTGTATATATATACACATGTGTATGTACATATGTGTGTATATATGGTATAGATCCATGAAATTATCTCTATAACCTCTAGAATGTCCTCATCTTGACTGAAAAACAGTGCATTTAGAGCTAAGTCTAATAACTTTAGGTCACTCTTTGACAGACATGCCATCATAAACACAAACAAAGTGGTGGTTGTTTTTAAAATGATTACCAGTAAAATGCACAAACCAAATTGAAAACTTCTCATTGAATATTCTAAAGCACACACACATATCCATGAAACTAAGTATGAGAAATATGGCTGTCAGCAATGGGAACAGGAATGAGGCACTGAAATTTGTAATGCAGAAAAATGAAAGGATCTTATTTTAATTTCATCACTCTGTTGGTTATAGAAAGGGCTTATTTGAGGAGAACATAGAAAAACATTGAGAGATTAACTGAAAAGCACCTCTGTAAGTCCCAACATCGGGTGAAGAGTGGAATGAATTAAGCAGCTGCAGTGGAAGAGAAAGAAAAGGATTTACTGGGAAAATAAACACAAAATATCAACATATAATCTGGAGATCGGCTTACTGACTGAATATAAGCAATGAAGTGGAAGTAGGAATAAATGCATCCCATGGTTCTGACTTAGATTACTAGGTAGATTATTGTGCTACCAACTGAAATAGTAAAATGATAGAAGAACTGGCTTGGGGGAGACTATAAAAAGTACAGGTTTAGTCATGTAAATTCTGAAGCAGCTGGAGAAAATCCAGTCACAGATGATCCTCTAGATGTTGGTCACATAAGCCTAAGACTGGGTAGAAAGTCTAGACTGAAAATGTATTTTAGGAGTCATCCGTGTGTAGGTGGCAGAATGGTTACAATCACTCAGAGAATACGGGCAGTGAGTAAACAGAGGATCAGAAAAAGGACCCTGAATGGGATCAATATTTGAAGGCTAGACAGAGGCATAACAGTCATTAAGAAAACAGCGAAGGAACAATTTAAAAGGTACAAGAGAAGATGACTGTGTCATACAAGTCAAGGAAATAGTTTCAGGAAGAGTTACATATATGAAGCAAAAAGGTCCACCGAAACAATGAGTTGAAAAAATATCTGTTGGAATTGCTAGTTAAAACAAACAAACAAAAAAACACCAGTTACCTCATCCATAGCAGCTTTATCCAGAGCAGTTTTGGCCAACTGGACAGGGTGGCAGGCAGAGAACTTATTGCAAAAGACTAAAGAGTAGATGAGAAGAAAGTCAGTGAAGACTGGAAGTCAGCAGAGAAAGTAAGTGAAAAACACTTCTGAGAACTTAGATCAGAAAAGCATAAAATGGATAGCAACTGCAGACAAATGTAACATGACAAATTGAGTGAAACAAGCAAATATATATTTTTTAAAAGCAGATAAGCAAAGGTTGGAGATAATGAGTGAAAAAGAATGGCAGGTGAGACATGGCCCTGGATAAGAGACTGAGTCAAGGACCCCAGTAGATGGGCTGGGATCTGTAAAGCCAAAGTAAACACTTTTATTTAAGGCTGAAGGAAAGAGGATAAGAAAGTTTAGGATTGTACAGAACTATTACTGGCATGTAGGAAGTTAAAGGAGATTTCACCCTACAGTCATATTTTCTTAAAGTTTGAGAAAGGGGGACAGTAGCTGAACAGTGCACAAGAATAATGGTAAATGTGACACCTTCCACATTATCCACCATATATTCATAAATCTGATTTGTTGCTCTGGTCCTTCAGAAAAATCAGAAGCTGATGAAGTAGAATTGGAGGATTGAGCTTTAACTTAGAGTTCATTCATTTAACAAGTATCTATCATAACCATTAAAAATGTGCAGATAAATGCTTGCTAATTATCACTACAACTTCTATATGCCATGCTTACAATGATAATGCAGAAAGTTCAAAAAGTAGGAGTAACAAGAACAATGATCTATCATTTCTATACTAAGCCAGATAGACTGATTATTTTAAGTGAATAGACACTAAAAATGACTTCTCAACACGTCAACTTCATTCTTCACATAAATAAAGGGAAATATAGACTACAGTAATCAAGAAAATTATATTTTTCTTTCATGGAAGTTAAAATGGTTCAAAAAAAGAAAAGAACAATTGCATTAACTTACACAAATTTCCATAAAAGTAAGCTTAACTTCATGTGTAATGATTTTAAGAAAAACTCACAAAATGAATACTTCAATGGATAAATTGGGAAGCAAAAAGGCAATTGCTAGTTTTTCTCTTTACTCCTCACTGCCATGCCTTTTGGCAAGCCACATGCACTCCATCTCATCCCCTTCAGGCAGGACAAGTACAAATTTGAGGAGTATTTCTACCCATGTACGCTATGGGGACAGTAATACACAAAATTCACCACCATTCTTACTGGCTACGTTATTTCTATACCATCAGAAAAATGTCATCAGAGCATATGTTAGAAATGCTAATATGGAAAAACAAAGAAGAATCTCCTTTCAGTGCTCTAAAGGAATGCTTTAACACCACCACACAGGACTATGTGGGATTTTACACAATATGGCTTCCAGTGTTAAAGTCCAGATGAGCAGATCACGAGGTCAGGAGTTCAAGACCAGCCTGGCCAACATGGTGAAACCTCGTCTCTACTAAAAATACAAAAATTAGCCAGGTGTGGTGGCATGCACCTGTAATTCCAGCAACTTGAGAGGCTGAGGCAGGAGAATTGCTTGAACATGGGAGGTGGAGGTTGCAGTGAACAGTTATCACGCCACTGCACTCCAGCCTGGGTGACAGAGCAAGACTTCATCTTAGGAAAAAAAAAAGTTATAATAAACAAAACCTAAAGAGTCCATCTACGACATTCTAAGTCCCTCTTACACACTGGATCCTATAGACTTTCTATTTCATTTTGCTGAACGCTTAACCCTTCCATTTTATTTCCGTTTTTAAGGTTCACCTTGATCCCATTTACCATTTTAGAGTGGATGTCAAGTATACTCAACAAAATAGAGATGGGATCCACCTGTCATACATCATGCCCTAGAAATACCCACACCAAGATCAACAGTAAATCTGTGTATTTTGAGCTGCCCTCAAAATTATTCACATTCACATCAGCAGTTTGTTTTTGTTTTTTTATAACATGTTGTCTCATTTGTTGCCCAGGCTCATCTCAAATCCAGATTCTTGCCCTAAAGGGATCCTTCCACTTCAGTCTCCCCAGTAGCTGAAATTACAGGTGACACCCACTGTGGCCAGTCACATGAATTCTTGATCCCTTTTCCTACTTATTTCTACATTCCCTTCCTCACCCATAAAATTATACCTATTGATATGCTTTGGTTCTGTGTCCGCACTTAAATCTCATCTAAAGTGTAATTCCCAGGTATCAAGGGAGGTACCTGGTGGGAGGTGATTGGATCATTGGGGTGATTACCCCCATGTTGTTTTCTCTCTCTCTCTCTCTCCCCCTCACCTGCTGCATGTAACACATGCCTGCTTCTCCTTCCACCATGATTGTGGGTTCCCTGAGGCCTCCCCAGCCATGTGGAAATGTTAGTAAATTGAACCTCCTTTCTTTGTAAATTACCCAGTCTTGGGAAGTTCTTTATAGCAGTGTGAAAACTAACTAATACAGGAAATTGGTACTGCAGAGAGTGGGGCACTGCTATAAAGATAACCTGAAAATCTGGAAGCAACTTTGGAACTGGGTAACAGGCAGAGACTGAAAATGTTTTAAGAGCTCAGAAGAAGACAGGAAGATGTTGGAAAGTTTGGATCTTCCTTAAGACCTGTTAAATGATTTTGACCAAAATGCTGATAGTGGTGTGGACAGTAAAGTCCAGGCTGAAGTGGTCTCAGGTGGAGATGAGGAATTTATTGGGAAATGGAGTAAAAGTCACCCTTGCTATGCTTTAACAAAGAGACTGGCGGCACTTTGCCCCTGCCCTAGAGATCTGTGGAACTTTGAACTTCAGAGAGGTGATTTAGGGAATCCAGAGGAAGAAATTTCTAAGCAGCAAAGCATTCAAGAGGTGACAGAGCATAAAAGTTAAGAAAATTTGCAGCCTGACCATGTCTTAGAAAAGAAAAACCTATTGTCTTGGGAGAAATTCAAGCCAACTGCAAAAATTTGCATAAATGATCAGGAGTCCAATGTTAATTTTCATGACAATAGGGAAATGTCTCCAGGGATGTCAGAGACCATAAAGGCAGAACCTCCCATCCAGGTCCCCAGGCCTAATAGGATAAAATGGCTTCTTGGGTTGGGCCCAGGACCACATGCCTGCTCTGTGAAGCCTAGGGACTTGGTGCCCTACATCCCAGCCACTGTAGCTCCAGTTGTGGCTGAAAGAGGCCAAGGTAAAGCTTGGGCTCTTGCTTCAGAGGGAGCAAGCCCCAAGCAGCTTTCATATGGCATTGAGCCTGGGAGTGCACGGATCAAGAATTAAGGTTTGGAAACCACTGCCTACATTTTAGAGGATATACAGAAATGCCTGGATGTCCAGGCAGAAGTCAGCTACAGGGGCACAGCCCTCATGGAGAACCACTGCTATGGCAATGCAGAAGGGAAATGTGGGGTTGGAGCCAAAGCACAGAGTCCCCACTGGGGCAATGCCTAGTGGAGCTGAGAGAAAAAGGCTACTGTTGTCCAGACCTCAGAATAGTAGATCCACCAAGGGCTTCCACTGTGTGCCTGGAAAAGCCATAGGCACTCAATGCCAGCCCATGAAGGAGCTGCCGAAGGCCATGGCACCCCTTGCATCAGCAGATGCAAGACATGGAGTCAAAGGAGACCATCTCAGAGGTTCAGGATTTGACTGCCCCACTGCATTGTGGACTTGCATGGGGCTTGTAGCCCCCTTTGATTTGGCCAATTTCTCCCATTTGGAACAAGAACATTTACCCAATGCCTGTACCCCCATTGTATCTTGGAAGTAACTAACCTGCTTTTGATTTTACAGGTTCATAAGTGAAAGGAATTTGCCTTCTCTCAGATGAGACACTGGACTACGAACTTTTGAGTTAATGCTGAAATGGGTTAAGACTCTGGGGGCTGTTAGAAGGGCATGATTGTATTTTGAAATGTGAGAAGGCTATGAGATTTGAGAGGGACCGGGGTGGAATAATATGGATTGGCTCTGTGTCCCACCCAAATCTCATCTTGAACTGTAATCTCCATGTGTCAAGGGAGGGACCTGGTAGGAGGTGATTGGATCATAGGGGTGGTTTCCTCCAAGCTGTTCTCATGGTAGTGAGTTCTCTTGAGATCTGATGGTTTTATAAGAGGCACATCCCCCTTTGCTCTCTCACCTGCTGCCATGTAAGACAAGCCTACATCCCTTTCTGCCATGATGGTGGGTTTCCTGAGGGCTCCCTAGACATGTGGAACTATGAGTCAATTAAACTTCTTTTCTTTATAAATTACCCAGTCTCCAGGCAGTCCTTTGTTTCTGAGATGGAATCTTCAGTCTTACTCTGTCTCCCAGGCTGAAGTGTGCAGTGGCACAATCTCGGCTCACTACAACTTCTGCCTGCTGGGTTCAAGTGTTTCTCCTGCCTCAACCTCCCTAATAGCTGGGATTGCAGGTGTGTGCCACCATGCCCAACTCATTTTTATATTTTTAGTAAAGATGAAGTTTCACCAGGAGTTCGAATTCCTGACATCATGTGATCTCATTTGCCTTGGACTCCCATAATGCTGGGATTACAGGTGTGAGCCACCATACTCAGCCTCAGGCAGTTCTTTATAACAGTGTGAAAAACACTCATAGAACCAAATGTCACAAGGGTAATTTTTTCTGAACTCTCTACAAGCCCATAAACTTTATAGAACTGAACAAATCATCTTCATGCATTGCACATAAAAACATACAATTTATGTTTGCCCTTCAAGTTGTACATTTCAGCGAATATTGTGATCCCTCCTACCAACAGGCCCAGAGTAAAAAACCATCCTTGGCTCCTTTCTCTCTTCTACCCTCCACATACAATGAAAGCACTATGTTACGCTGATTATAACTTCTACGCGTGTATTACGGATTTTCAGAGAAACTGAAATATATATATTCACACACACACACCACACACACACACACACACACACACACACACACACACACAAGCAAATGCCATATACGTTAAGAAACTGACTTGAACAATTGGCTGAAGCAATTGTAGAGGCTGAGAAGTACCAAGATCTGTAGTGAGCAAGCTGGAGGCCCAGAGTACCACTTCTAGTCCAAAAACCAGCAGACTTAAGACCTAAGAGCCGATGTTGCAGTTTGAGTGTGAAAGCAGGATAAAACCCATGTCCCAGCTCAAGGCATTCAAGCAAGAGGAGCTCCCCCTTACTTATGGAAGGGTTAACTTTTTCTTTTCTACTCAGGGTTTCAACTTGTTGGATGAGGCCAGCCTACATCTGGGAAGTAATCTGCTTTACTCAGTCTACCAGTTCAAATAGTCTTATCCAAAAACACGTTTTCAAACACACAGAATGATGTTTGATCAAGTATCTGGATACTCCATGACCCATCAAGTGGACACATAAAATTAACTGTCATAACATATATATCTGAATCTGTCCTTCCCTAGTCCCTTCCACCACTTTAATCCATACTATTATGATTTCTTGAACTGATTAACACAATTACCTCACCTAGCTGATTACTGGCTTCTGGTTCTGTCCTCCTCTAGGCCACACTCTAGACCAATCTCAGAGTCACCCTGCTAAAATACCACTTTGATAATAGAAATTCTGTCCTTAAAATCTCCCAGAGGCTACCCATACCTTACAAAACACAATCTTCCATGTCCCTCAGTTTTGCCAACAAAGCCTTTCACTGTGTGGCCCCTTCCTTCTTCTCCAACCTTACCTCTACTCTCATCCTTATTTACATGCAAGCAACTTTAAACTCCTTACAGTTCACCAAAACACGCCAAACTAATCAACGTAACTATTTACATCATTTTTTTCCCATCTGGTATGTTCTTATACCATAATCTAGAGATGTAATGATTTTTCAAACCCTGCTTCAAATTTTCTGTGAAACCATCCCTGCTCTCTCCAGGCACAGAATATATCTCCCCTGTCTATGCTGTCCTGTACCTACTTGCACATAATTCTATTACTATACTCATTAATCTGTTTTAAGGGAATTAGTGACTCCCTATTGTAAAGAGGAGGTTCTTAATGGCAGACACAGAGTTTATTTGGTGGGTATTACTGTTGTTTGATGCCTTGTCTCCTACATAATTGGTAGTCTGAATACACATATATATCTATTTTTTCAACATATACATGTTCAATATTATATATAAACAGGTATATATGTGTATGGATATACACATAAACAAAGGTTGAAATCAAATAAAATATCTTCAAATGCACTGAAATAACATCACAGGCATACATAATTTGTTAGTACCATCTATGATTTCCCAGCATTAATAATAATCACTCACATGTACAGATGCTTTAAATTGGACAATTTGAAAGTAATGTTTATGCCACCTGGTGGTCAAACAGGAAATGCTATTTTAAAATATTTCATAATTCATAATTTGATATGACAGGGTTTCAGCTTAAAGAAATTGACTTCTGCCTCTAGAAGGATATATTTCAGCACATTGCAAAGCATTTTTGAGAAATCGTGACAAAAGGCTTCAACTGCAATAACACTGGGAGACTTCAACACCTCACTGATAGTATTACACAGATCATTAAAGCAAAAATTAACAAAGATATGGAGGACCCAAACTAAGCACTGGATCAAATTGATCTGATAGACATCTATAGAACTCTCTACCCAAACACAACAGAATATACATTCTTTTCATCACTACATGGCATATACTCTAAAATCGATCACATAATCAAACATAAAACACTCCTTGGCAAATGCAAAAGAACTGAAATCATAACAGCCACTCTCTCAGACCACAGTGCAATTAAAGTAGAATTTAAGAATAAGAAAAAAACTCAAAACCATACAATTACTTGAAAACTGAATAACCTGCTCCTGAATGACTCTGGGGTAAATAGTGTGATTAAGGTAGAAATCAAAAAATTCTTTAATACTAATGAGAACAAAGATACAACATACCAGGATCTCTGGGAAACAGCTAAGGCAGTGTTAGGAGGGAAAATTATAGCACTAAACATCAACATCAAAAAGTTAGAAAGATCTCAGTTTAATAACCTAACATCGCAACTAGCAGAATTAGAGAACCAACAGCAAACCAATCCCAAAGCTAGCAGAAGACAAGAAATAACCAAAATCAAAGCTGAACTAATAGAGACTGAGACAAAAAAAAATTCAAAAGATAAATAAATCCAGGAGTCGGTATTTTGAAAAAAATTTTTTTAAATTTTAAGTTCTTGGATAGATGTGCAGAACATGCAGGTTTGTCACATAAGTATACATGTGCCATGGTGGTTTGCTGTACCTCTCAAACCATCATCTAGGTTTCAAGCATGCATTAAGTATTTGTCCTAATGCTCTTCCTCCCCTTGCCCTCTACCCCCTCACAGGCCCCAGTGTGTGATGTTCCCCTTCCTGTGTCCATGTGTTCTCATTGTTCAATTTCCACTTATAAGTGAGAACACACAGTATTTGGTTTTCTGTTCCTGTGTTAGTTTGCTAAGAATGATGGCTTCCAGTTTTATCCATGTCCCTACAAAGAACATGAAGTCATTCTATTTTATGGCTGCACAGTATACCATAGTGTATATCTTCCAACAAGCAATTGGGAAAGGCTTCCATATTTAATAAATGGTGCTGAGAAAACTGACTAGCCATATGCAGAAACCTGAAACTGGACCTCTTCCTTACACCTTACACAAAAAAATTAGATCAATATCAATAAAAGACTTAAAACCCAAAACCATAAAACCCTAGAAGAAAACCTAGGCAATACAATTCAGGACATAGGCATGGGTGAACACTTCATGACCAAAACACCAAAAGCAACTGCAACAAAAACCAAAATTGACAAACAGGATCTAATTGAACTAAAGAGCTTCTGCACAGCAAAAGACACTATCATCATTATGAACAATCTACAGAATGGGAGAAAATTTTTGCAATCTATCAATCTGACAAAGGTCTAACATCCAGAGTCTACGAGGAACTTACATTTACAAGAAAAAAACAACCCCATCAAAAAGTGGGCAAATGATATGAACAGATAATTATCAAAAGAATACATTTATGCAGCCAACAAACATATGAAAAAAAGCGTATTATCACTGGTCATTAGAGAAATGCAAAGCAAAACCACAATGCAATACCATCTCACTCCAGTTAGAAAGGCAATCATTAAAAAGTCAGGAAAAGTAAACAAACATATGAGAAAAAAGCTTATTATCACTGGTCATTAGAGAAATCCAAATCAAAACCATAATGAGATACCATTGCATACCAGTTAGAATAGTGATTATTAAAAAGTCAGGAAACAACAGTTGCTGGAGAGGATGTGGAGAAACAGGAACACTTTTACACCGTTGGTGGGAATATAAATTAGTTCAATCATTGTGGAAGACAGTGTGGCAATTCCTTAAGGATCTAGAACCAGAAATACCATTTGACCCAGCAGTCCCATTACTGGGTATACACCCAAAGGATTATAAATCATTCTACTATAAAGACACATGCACACCTATGTAATTGCAGCACTACTCACAATAGCAAAGACTTGGAACCACCCCAGTTGCCCATCAATGACAGGCTGGATAAAGAAAATACTGCTAAAATAGATACAGTACTAGCTAGACTAAAAGAGAGAAGAGCCAAATAAAAATCAGTTCATTTATTCCATTCTAGCAATTTGCATCATTCTTCCAACTTTGAATATACCAAAAGAGATAGCACGCTCAAATGCATAAAATTATAAACTAATGAGATGGTTTGTTTTAGCTGAATTGTCTTCACTGCCTGAGCTTCAAAAAAACAACACAGCATGTTTGTGGGTCAGCTGGGCACAAAACTATTTGACCATACAATTCCCCTTGCCTTTAGGTGTTCAACTCTCTACTTTCCTGGTTGTCCTTTCTCTCTAAACCATCCTTTAGCTCTCCAACACAAACCTTTCTCCTTGCTATGCTTTTGGTACTAGCCCTCATTCCAGCTTTGTGGATGTCCCCATTTTCCCACTGTCTCAAATAATTTCTTTAGGCAAATGACTCTCTTAACTGTTATCTGTATTCCTAATCCTGACACCTCTCTCAAGTTCAAGTCACCAGGTTTCCTTGCTTGCTTCTATCTCACTATGACTTGACTTTCAGGTCTCACTATGACCTGAAACCTCATTTGTTCAAAAAAAAAAAAATCACCATTTCCACTTACACTTGGTACAAACTTCCTGCTAGTACCGCTACTACCCTCCAGTCTCCAGGGTTTGAAGCCTGAGAGTCAACCTTGACTTATTCCTTGACACCCATATACATTCCACTGACAGATGATATTGACCCTATCTCCTCCTTCTTTCCTTGTTCCCATTTGGGGCCTTTGCATTAATCCTTCCCTCTGCCTGGGATCCTCTCCTCACTCCCACCCCAGTAGTCTCAAGACTTATTCCTGGCTGTCATTCAAGCATCTCTTTCAATGTCCCTTCTTCAGAAAGGTCTCTCTGGTCACCTAATCTCTATCACATCATCCAGTTTTAATTCTCTAAATATTACTACCACTTTCTGATCATTTGCTAATGGTATATTCTGTCCATGCCCTTAGGAATGTGCACTCCTTAAGTGTCCTGGACTCTCTGATTTATTGCTACATCCCAGAGCCTTTATTGTTGAGTAAGAGCTCAATATTTCTCAACAACTAAAAATAGCAGCACCTGTTTTATTTTCATGCCAAAGTAATTACATGTAAAACCTGAGCTGTACCAGTGATATCTGTGTTTCCAATCTCTTCCCTCTCCCAAACAATTATAAACAGTGATGCCTAATTACTCCTCCTAAATAACCTTATCCTTCAGATAACCTAAAGAAATCACTTATGGAAAGTATACTGTCTTAGACATTCATAGCACATACTCAACAAATGTTGTTTCCCCTTTATTTTCCTGCTGAAAAATCCTTAAAAGTCCACTCACTGCCTACAGAATGTGGCATGTTTTCCACTGGCTGTCACACCTTTTCTTAATAGGCTCTAACCTAGTTTGCCATCTTATTTTCTAGAACACCTCTTTATGCTCTGTTTACCACAGTCAAATTACACCTTTTGCCAGTATATTCCTCTATCTATACTTTACATTGTTCCCACTTGCTTAAATAGCCTCGTACCCACAGCTCTCTAAGCAACTTCCTTCAAAAAGACTTTTAAAAATCCTGTTCTCTAAGACAAAATAATTACTTTCTCTCTCTCCTCTGAACACTAGTATCTTTCTTTGGATTACCCAGTCTCATTGGGTTTAATTAATGACGTGGTCTTCCTCTCACTAGAATGTGTGATGCTATGGGCAGGACTTAAACTTTATCTTTCTGTATTTTCTACAGTTTTGTACCTTACAAACACTGAATTAAAAGGGACTGAATAAATGACCAAAATAATTGCTCTGAAAGAAAAGAGTTAGTAGAGAAACACTAGGAACTGATAAGAGGAACCATCTCTCTTTGGATTCCATTAATGGTCAAAAACTTGCAGTATAGTAAAAAGTAAAAAGCATAGTCCTAATTCCATTTCCTAACAAACAGGAAGTGTCAAGATGAGAGAAGGCAAACACTTAATATTGTGATGTCAATATCACACACAGCCCTACTGAATAAGGCCAAAGCCATGATGAAACAATCTGCTACAAAGCGAAACAATGATTCCACCTGCATAATTTCCATTCATCAATGCATGAATGCTACCATGAGGAATTGGTACAAACAATAAAATTACTTAAGTCAGCAATACACCCAACTCAGTGCCCCTCATACACTGTGCATGCCAAACCACACAGCTCTCTCCACAATCTAGCCCCAATTACCTTTCCTCTTGAAATCTCGCAAAACTCGTATCTCTCCTTGAACAAGCCTTTCTCCTAGAGAATTTGCCTGATTTTGTTTCCCACCAAGACCCTTCTTTGACCTCAGCTTTGGGCCACAGAGTTCCAATTGCTCATATCTACCTTTCTGGGATGTTACCTTTAAGCTAAGTTGGTCCCCTGAGCCTCCCTTGATAGGCAACTCAGGTTGATATTTGTTTCTACCATGTGTCTACCTCACTCTCTTTACTGAAAATCAGATGCACTGAGATCTTATACCCAATGCAATGTTTCCTTAACTTACATTATCGTAAGAAGAAAAATACTAAAATTAATTATTTCTAAGCATAGGCATTCAGAGTTTCCTAGGGAAGGTTTCAGAAAACTGTCTTTTAAGTAAATATTCAGGAATTATCACAACTGTATGTTCTCTACATTGTTTGTACCCTATAAATGCTGAATAAAAATGGGGTAAATAATTGAAGAAGTCCCTGAAGTATCTCTTTGCTCTACTCCCAAACTCATGCACTCAGTCTGCATTACCTGTTTATTGCTGGATTCGAGGCCGCTAAGTCATTATAATGAGAGATCTTACATCTCTGGTTTTCATTCTTGCCTGCACATTGGAGTGACTTAGGGTTTTTTTTTTTTTTTTTTTTTTGAAAACACCAATACTAGCCCACACCCTATGCCAAATACATCAGAATCTCTGGGTGTAAAATACAGATACTACTATCTTTTAACGCTCCTAGATGATTTCAGTGTGAGACACATTATCTTATATTAACCCATTTTTATGCCTGAGGTCGCAACTTTTTGAATCTTGAAGACCTTGGCAATGACCTCGAGCAGTAGGATATACCTAACTCCCACCTGCTTAGCATTCCAATAAGGGAACACTAGACATAAATGGGCTGTGTTTATACTACTATTCTTTAGCAGAGAATTGGGATATGTCCCATTTCTGCCATTTTCACTCTCACCTTTGTGACTCCCAGAATGTCTTCCTACTTCCTCTCTCGGAGTCCATGTTAATTTCTTTTTAATCTTTCAAAGTTCAGCTGGAGCTCTGCTCTCTTTTCAGGGCTTCTCTTCACTTATTTTCTGTTTTGCAAAAGTAGAGCCTTATATGTTCTAACAGTCCCATCCCACCTTATGCTAATCCATTATCACTACCCTTATGGGCACAGTCCTATTATATCCACTCTCAGTGCCATCCCATTCTCCATACAGCAGCCAGAGCAAGAAGTTTAAAGCTCCTCATTAATGTCCTACCCCCTGGAACAAGCCTTGCCTCCGCCCCCTCTTTGGCCTCATCACTCACCCTATATTCCTTACTCTGTGCTCCACAGCCACATTGGCCCGTTCCTGCTCAATGAACTTTCTGCCTCAGGCCAACTTGGATGGCTCCACTCCTTCAGAAGTCAACTCAAACATTCCCTTCTGAATAAGGGCTTCCTGATGATCCAGTCTAAATTAGTAGCCCTGCTCTATCTCCAGGTACTCCATGACTTCAACCTGGCTTATTTTATTAACACCTTTTAAAACCCAGTTTTCTTGCTTATGAGTTTACTTTTTAAAGTATATATCCTCCATGTAAATATAAATCATATCACTTTTGTCTTGTTCCTGGTAAACTTGCAGAAACGAAGAGTTTTGGTTGAATAAAGAAATGAATCAATTAACCAATGAACAAATGAACATGAATCTAATTCAAGACAAAATTATATGCATCATGTGTACTATCTCTACACGTGACTACTTTAGGAGAGCATACCTTTCTAACCACACCATAAGTTCCTAATGAGTAACAAGCAGACGCTTTCTTCTTTTCCAATCTTTAGAACTGGGCCAGTATCATACACTTAAGTACCTATTAATTATTTTGGCTATTTTAGAACAGCCTCATCATTGTATTGAAAAATATTTTTTAACTTTCAGTTACCTATATAATCATCCAACCAATAAATATCTCCCTAAATTGAATGTTTACTATATCATGCCTGAACAAGTACAACAAGTCTGCAATTTTAATTCACCTTCCAATTCTTCCATCTTTCACTTCCACTCTCTGAATCACATTCATTTTACTAGGTACTACACAACTTATAAATCTTAAAATTACAGGCTCTGCCTGTATGTGGCCATTGATTTGTCCAATAGGGAGCCAAGCATATTTTTCTCTAACTAATGTACATCTGTTGAGATAAAAGAGACAGATATCTCAATCAGGAAACTTCGGTGAGGATGCTGCAAGTCTGAGCTGCTTCTCTAGGGATAAGGCCTTACTGTGACCAGAAAATTTTTTAAAGCTGGCCTTATATAGGATTATGGTTTACGGATTATGGTTTCAAAATTTAATTGTTTTTTTTTTTACATCTGACACATCAAAACCCATCCAGGAAATGCAGGCTTTGTTTAAAAGCTATCAGAAAGTTCACAGTGAAAAACCAGAATCAGGTATTTTCTAAAACTTTACTGACAATCACAGATACCAATGAAATTGCTTTCTATAAGACAAGAAAGCACAAACTTCAGAAAATTACAGTAATTACTATATTTTGCTTGCATTACTTAAAATATAATCGTGGTGGGCAATACTATCTACCAACACCTTCTTCTTATTTATTTTGGCATCAATAGTGCAGACTGCCCATGGGAACTGCTAAACATATATCTTCAAATAACTTAGCCATCTCCAAAGAAATAATCCCATTAGTCCTAGAATACATAAAACATTCATAAAATCCCCTTTAATCTTCATATGTGATGATTATTGATAGTGTTTCCCCCAAATGCTTAAGATTATAATATAGGCCATAATATGCAACAGTCATCCTATTAGCGCTTTTCAAGGTCTTGATGTATTTACCTGCTGTTCCCCCAGGGGACAGGGAGTCCCCATAAATTCTGTTCATCCAAGTAGGCGGACTCTGCTCTGACCTTCACTAACCCTGGAGGGCCCAAAATCACCACTCACATCTGAGAGACCCTCTCCCTTTTATGTGGAGGTATCACCCCAAAAGAAGTCTAACAATGGAAATTGCAGGTACCAAAATAATTATAATTTTTGGCTCATTAAACACGTCACCTTTCCCTCCCAAGAGTACTTTTAGTCCTTATAAACAACAAAGTAATTCAATAGCATATACATACATCATTGTTGGATGAAGTTTTTTTCTTTAAAGCACTAGTTTCAAAATCTTGAATCCCTTTTGAGCACTAATTTTTATTCTTTCCTACAGCTAGTCAGTTATTAAATAAGCCGCATAATTTTCTTCTGTTACAAAATGCACCACACTGAAACCTTTACCCTTGCTGGCATCCTAGTCCATTCTCTTCTCATCATGCTTAGAATACACCCATCTTCTCCTACTAGACTTTTCTGCTTTAGTTCATCTCTCCTACAACCCATACACAGCTGCTGTAGATTTTACATCAATTGTATTACACAGTCCTTTAATGTCTCCCCTCTGTTTAATGTCTTAGGGCAAACGTCATAAGAACAATCATATTTTCTGCCCTGGACATACTAAATCCAAACCTCAGGATGTTCTTCCCTTCCTGGTTGTATAAACCCCTTCTTATTGATGCTCTATGTTTCCTTGTTTACCTGCTGTCTCTTCTCTGAAAATTCCTAACCATATGTCCACAGTTTTCTTTCCATTAATATTCTATGAAACTCATTGATAGTCTCAGGTGTTTAGATCTTCCATATATATGCTACTTCTTTCAACAAAGATGTGAGTAAGCAAGTGACCTCCTGGTCACTTTGATGGACAGTCATCAGTTTCTACCTTGCTTGACATCTCATCTATTTCCTCATTCTGAAAATATTCTCATTGTTCAACTTCCACTTATGAGTGAGAACATGCAGTGTTTGGTTTTCTGTTCCAGAACTTAAAGTAAAATAAAATAAAATAAAATAAAATTCTCTTCACTTGGTTTATATGAACCTCCCTTTCTCAAAATTATCCTACTAATTCACCTTTTCTAGTTACATTTTGCCAACTTTTATTCTCACCATTGTTTACCATTCCAACTGAATTCTACCCTTGCCCAAGTTACTCCCTTTTCTTGCCAATGCCAGGGCAATGAATTTTTTTTTTTTTTTTTTTTTTTTGTATTTTTGTAGAGATGGAGTTTCACCATGTTGGCCAGGATGGTCTCGATCTCCAGATCTCTTGATCCACCCACTTCAGCCTCCCAAAGTGCTGGGATTACAGGCATGAGCCACCATGCCCAGTCTCTTGAATTCCTAACCGGTCTCTACACATTCAGTCTCGCCCCTGGCAAATTTGTCTCAGGATGGAGTCCAGTGAGTGGTCTTTTCAATTGCAAATCTAATTGTGTCACTCATCTGCTGAAAATACTACAATAAAAACTGCATTTTTTCAAGCACACAGGTAATTCTAATGTGCAGTGAAGTTTGAGAACAACTCCTCTAACCATATGCACTTCCAAATCTTGTGGTATTCTTTAATCCAGAATACTTTCTCACCTTTCAAAACTCAGCTATCCTGAATATTATTCAATCTTCAGATTTTATTTTAAATGCTTCTCCTCAAGAAGGCTGTCTCTGATATTCTATATCAGATCTGATTCCCCTGTAATTGGTTCCCATGAAACCTGTTAATATATGTTAACTATCTGTTTTCTTCCTTTGACTCTAAACTCCAAAGAGGAAGTACCATATCTGTTCTCCCAGTGTATTGCAAGTACTTAACATGGTGCCAGGCACAAAGTGGATGCTCAGCAGTTTCTACTAAATGAATCTTATAGCAATATTCTTTTTAAAAAGTATTATAAAAGCTCAGAGGTAAAAAGGATTATGTCACTGTAAAAAGGAATCACATAAATTATTCTTCTCTTAAAAACTTACAAGTGTTTGAAAATATATAACCCCAGACAACCCAGAAAAAAAAAAAAAAAAAAAAAAAAACCTGTAACTGGTCAATTTTCAACCTAGAAATTAAATGCCTTTAATTTCATCATTAAATGAAATATTTGAAGGATGACATAGTAACTCATCACATACCATAAGTATATGAACTAATTATAGGCTTGTTATGAAGACAAGAATTATTTACACACTGAAGTTTGGAGATGCATGTGATTCCATAGCTAACACTCTTTTTAAGTATAGTCTATCCGCTAATAAAGCCCAAATGACAATTCTGTAAGCACATTAGGAATATGGCCAAAAGCCGTATGCTTGATTCTGCAGACTCTGTTCTCTAGCATAGGAAGAAAAAACAAAAATATGCCTAATTCTAAAAAAGAAGCACAGCCAAAGAAAGCTGACTAGTCAATCATTACATTGCCCAATATGATTAAAACAGTAAAATCACAATTACTTTGGCACCAACCTAATATATTCTAGTGATTAGTAAAATGGAGAGCTCAAAGTCCATTTTCTGTAGATACCTAATTCAAGCAGAACACATTTTCACTGATTTTTACTATTGTGTTGGTCATAAAAATAAAGTCCATTCTCAGGGGTTTTACAGTTTTTATAACTAGTTAAAAACTAGTAAAACATCACAGCTTTAGTATTATGGTTCATCCATCCATCACTCATTATAAAATCAGTGGTCTAGGAAATTAAATACACTTGACCAAAAAAGCAGAATAATCTCTTACCATTAAGAATTAAAATTAACACACATTTTTTTTCAGAAGAGAATAAACCAAACTAAATAGGTTCTGCATTACCAGAATAAATGATTTCACACAACTCACACTGCATTCTGTTTAATTCATCAAATCTATATTGGGTGTTACAATGGAAGGGCACTGACAAAAGGCTAAAAAGACTCAAATGATAAATAAAGGGTGGCTTCCTACCATCAGAAAACTCAGAAAACACAGGGCAACAACTGACTCTACTATACGGCAAAAAGGCATTTCTGTTAAATAGAGGTCTGGTGATATGCTAGAGGGTCACAGACAAATTAGTTCAAACTAGGGAAGAACCAAAAAGATTTGATATTGTATGAGTGTTGAGAGATCAAGGAGCATTTGGGGGGGGGGCAGTCTTTCATACCAGGAAGAAGCACAGATAAGGGCACACAGGCAGCGGCACAAGTAATGGTGCGGAGAAAGGAGAGCTGGAGAAGAGGTAATGCAGAGATAGAGATGTGGGGCTGAAAAAAGATTCTGGGTGTACAACAGAGAGGGCCTTGAATGCAATCAGCTCCTAGATCATGTAAAACCATTCACTGTTTAAAACGTGATCTTAATTAACACATGATTTTTTAAAATTCACTGAAGCTCCTTCTAATTTTGCAGACTAGATGCTACCTAGTTTATGAATTGTAAATAAAAAGCCAATTATATCTTTGAAATTAAACTTGTGGAAATGTTTTTCACAGTGACAATCATAAATTGTTGAAGAAAGAACAAAATGATATTACAGTGTGTGAAATTTATGGGAAACTTCCCAAATTAGAGAGTATTCATTGTTTCAAATGTTTATATTATAAAGAAATAATAAAAATAATTCAGAATCAAATATCAGAGTATATTAAAAAGAACTGACATGTTATAGACTATGTTGTTATTTGCTTTACTTTTTAACTTTTAAGTTCAAGTGCAGCTTTGTTACATAAGTAAACTTGGGTCATGGAGTTTGCTGTATAATTTCATCACAGGAGCAAAGACATGGAATCAATATAAATGGCCCTCAATGATAAACTAGATAAAGAAAATGTGGTACATATACACCATGGACTACTGTGCAGCCATACAAAAGAAGGAGATCATGTCTTTTGTAGGGACATGGATGGAGCTAGAAGCCATTATCCTTAGCACACTAAGACAGGAAGAGAAAACCAATACCACATACTCTTACTTCTAAGTAGGAGCTAAATGGCAAGAACACATAAGACATAATCTTAACTACGTGAGAAAAAAAATTATAGAGGCAAAAGGGTGGCAGACAACCTTTTATGGGGGCTCCTGAAACAGCCAAGTAGACATGATGTTTAACAGATGACAGAAAACACAAAGCTCATTGTGGGAGGGAAATAACACTGAAAATTATATAATTGGTAAATCAGAACAAAAGAATAGCAATCATATTAGAGCTTTTTATAACAATGTAGCCACGGAAAAGAGAATGAAAATCAAGTTCCATTAATGTCACTTAGAGAATAACTGAACACAATAACAAGTGAATTCCTACATTTTCTGAACAATTTATTCCTAAGAAAAGCAGACCACCAGACCTGTAACACACTGTAAAAATCTTTCACTTTTGATTCTGGACTAAAATTAGACAATATGGCCATGATGCCCATCATTCTTACTGAAAAAAAATACTCACACAACACTCTTAAATATTTGTCCTACCCTCTTCCACGACCTAATCCACCTAATAGCTATAGATTCAGTTGTTTGTAAGACAGAATTAAACAATTCTCAATTCCTAAAAAAAAAAAAAAAAAAAAAAATTATTAGGTTCTTCTGCTGCCAAGGAATTAATGAACTTCCCATCAGATTATCAAGGCCAAGGGGAAAGAAAACTAGTATTTCTTTGTTGCCTGTGTGACAGGAAGCAGTGTGTGAAGCATTCCTCATTAATCCTTCATCATAAGCTCCTCATTACCCAAATCACTGTCTTCCTCATTTTTCAGAGTAGGAGAGTGAGTATCATGGAGGGTAAGCAACTTGCTCAAAAGAAGTTAGCTAACATTGGCAGAGCTAATATTCAAGTTCAGACACATCTGACTCTAAAAGCCATGCTCCTTCCAATAAGCACTCTGTCTCTAAGAATTTGTCTTTAGCAGCCTTTCTGTTCCATCAATAATGCTTCTTCTCTCTGCTCGTTCTTTCTTCATTAATTTATACAAGCTCATTCCTAAATTAATTACTGAGCACCTACTGGATGCTAAATGTTGACTATGATCATTCATTAGTGTCTATAAGTGTTTTATATTAAGCATGGCATTGTAAGCCTTGCCCTTTTCCTTATTCAAATCTATTGTCAGAATGGTTGTTACAATCACACCACTTCTATTTATTTCCAAGATGCATTCTAGTAAACATATAAATCCATGATACTCATGCCATAAAAATTATGTATGTACTACCTTCTGTAAATATAAAAATCCTCATTAGTTGGGGGAAAAAAGCATGTACTACAGAACTATCTAAAAGATAATATCCTAATTAAATAAATTTAACATCTGGGAACTGTTGGAAAAGTTGTTTATTAACAGTATTAATATTAAAATTTGTGAATTAAGACAATGCTGCCACAAGATTTTCGAGTAATTTTAACTAAAAACTATGCAGTTATGTTCATCTGTGTGAATCTATAAATAAACTAAGTATCCTTTAATTAAACATTTACTTGTAAATCCTGCAATAAAAA